TCCATATCACACTCGGACTAAGGATTTGGAAAGGCATTTTGAGTCTTATGGAAAGATTGCAAATGTAAGGATCAGAAGGAATTTTGCATTTGTACAATATGATTCCCAGGATGATGCCACCAGAGCATTGGAGGCTACAAATATGAGGTATAATTCCTACTTCCCAAGAAGAATTGTCAATTATTTACTCCTTTATTTCAAAGATATTCAGTAAATCTTATTATTATTTTTCCTGAACCATGTTCTCTTGTCTAATTGCAGCAAGCTGATGGATAGAGTTATTTCGGTAGAATATGCAGTTCGAGATGACGATGATCGCCGAAATGGTTATACTGAAACTCGTGGTAGGTCACCTGAGAGAGGTCGTGATAGAAGGCGATCACCAAGTCCTTACCGAAGAGAGAGGGGTAGCCCTGATTATGGCCGGGGCTCTAGTCGTAGTCCTTATAGGAAGGACAGGGGGAGCCCTGATTATGGTCGTGGCCACAGTCCAAGTCACTATAAGAGAGATAGAGGTAGCCCTGAGTACGGCCAGATCACCAGCCGTAGTCCTCCCCGAAGAGAGAGGGCTGGCTCTGACCATGCTCGTGGCTCCAGCCGAAGTCCTTACAGGAAAGAGAGGGCTAGCCCTGAGAATATCCAAGGCCCTAGCCGTAGTCCTTATAGGAGAGAGAAGCGAAGTGCTCAAAATGATGGTAGCCCTCATCATAGTCCTTACAGAAGAGAAAGGCCCACTTCCGACAATGGTCATGGAGCAGACCATAGCCCATATGGAAAGGGGAGAGCTAGCCCAGAGAATGGTCGTGGTCCCAGCCCAAGTTCTATGCCAGAAAGAAGGGTCAGCCCCTATGGTGGTGAAGCTGAAAGTCCAGCCAATGAGAGATATCGCAGGTTCGTATCATTATGATCTATAAGTTTTGCTTTATCTTTCGGTTCGGAGAATCAGTTTCACTTTATATTTTGCCATTTGAACTGCAGTCAATCACCGGCGGCGGGGAATGATTAGGATCTGGAGAAAGCATAGAAGGTCTTCCTTTGTCTTTGTGGTAAAACTCAGTTGGAAGCATTGTTATTTGTTCGTCTTTGGTGACAAAACCGTTTATGCAAATTACATTTAGAGCTGGATTCTCTGTCCTTTTGCTGTAGTGCATAGTTTTAAAAGGCTAGATTTGCTATGGAGCCATCCTGTTTTACTTTGAACTTTGAAACTAGTTTCTTTTCATCAGCTTGACCCCTTTTTCATGCTTATTAGCTATCATCCCTTATCTTGTTTTCTGAAATGTCTTGGTCAATCATTTAGAATTTCATCGATAACCGATCTCCGAAGGTTCTCTCTGAAAGCCATAGTACACCGGCAACACTGCCTTTGCTTCCAAAAAGACATGCTGCTGTGGACCTATACCGCAGCACCATGACCGAACTGCCACAATGTCACCCAAATAATCTCAAACAGCAGCTGATAACGTAATCGAAGTATTTGCTTCACAACTGCCGCATCAACATTTAGCTTAACAAGCCTAGGAGCAACTCTTAGACCATCGACTCGATCATTATGAATAGTTTTAGTTGATGTTTTAAAGATTGATGCATCACATTTTAAAATTTACAGATCAAATTTAAATGATAATTTTAATTTGGAAATCTCGTATATAATTGTCTATTATTATATTGGTAACATGATCTAGATGAAGGGCAAGTGGTGAGATGTTAATGAGGATGAGGAGTGCCAATGGTCCGCTCGTATCTCCACTCAAGTCAGATGCATAGGCAGCCATTGGAATCTGTATCATATTACCACATGTTGTAAAAGACGAGATTTTGATTTGAAGTGGATATAAATGGCACTTATTCAGACCCCATTGACATAGTTGGATTTGGTCCATTTTCTTTCGCGTCAATCAAGTGCAAGGCTGAAACCCTGAAAGAGCCATTATTGAAAGGGAAAAAAAACAAAGTGGTACTGGCGAGTGCGTGCACAAATGACGAAGCTTTTTCAGACAAGCAGGGAGAGCATTAACCATTTCTATGCCTAATTCTACGACCTTTTTGAAGGAGCGAATCAGGGTACACAAATAAAGCTGTTGTGTTGCATTAAGGAGACACTTGAAGAAAAATAGTCGATTGTTCACTGAATGGTACGCCCCCCTCTCTATCCATATCCAATCAATCCCTTTGCTTTGCTTTCTTGTTTTACTGCCTCTTTTGTCGTTTCTGAATATGTATAAATGTATGATCCAAAGTAAAACTATTGAAAAAGATACGTAAATCATGTTAGTTTTATATTTAATATAAATATTATTAAAAGCATCTTGTAACTAATGCAAAGTTGTTGTCCTCCTTGGGTGTCATTGAAAAGAGTAAACACTCACTATACCTAAAAAAATTGGGAGCAAGGATCTAATTCACTTAGTTTCAAAACTAAGATGATCTAAGAAATAGTTGGATCCAAAAAATTAAAAGGAAAAAGATTTAATTTATCTAGTTTCAAAACTACGAGGTACTTAAAAAACAATTAAATCCAAAACTTTTAGAGAGTTGTTTTTTTTAAATAATTTGGGGTGATCAGAATCTTTCTATATCATTGACAATGCATATACACTTGTAAACCCAACTGTTCAAATTTAAAATTTCTAGAAAAATAATATTTTTTCTATTATTGAATTCATTTGATGAATTCTGGGTATGAACCTGGTGATTTCTTTGGTAAAAGATTTTTTATTATTTCTATAGAATTCAGGTTTGAGCACCATAGATGTAAGAGGTGTGAGTGTTCAATATCAAAATGTTAAGAATTATATTTAAACATATACTATCTTATAGTTACATTAAATCAATAAAAATTGATGAATTCTGGAACAAACCGCACGTCTTTTCTTTAACCAAGTGGTGTGCGTCATGCATAGGTTCAACTACGTAATTTATGTTCTTTTATGACTTAACAAATGCCCATAATTATAAAATATATCAATATAATATACTCTAATAATGCATATTAATATTTTGTCCGAATATATATACTATATCCAAGTCTTATAGTTATCTTAATAATCCTTTGCGTACTTATTTTTGACAAATCATGGGAACAAGGAAAACAATGATAAAATAATAAAAATAATCACAATATTAATAATATTTGCAGTTGAGAAATTGCATGGCACTACCAAAACGGAACAAAGAAAACCCTAGAAATGATAAATACAATATGAACGTGACATCTTTCGTGTCACCTTTTGCTTTTAAAAAAATCAGAGCAGAGGATGAACACACTATCATCACCACGAGTAGTGCTTTTACATTACTTTCAAAATAAATAATATATCTTATATAATTTACTTTTGTTCTTACTTATAAATAAAATCCTTCAATTAACCCGAATTAATTTATTTCAGTAGTTAAAAGAATTGTTGTTATTTTTAGATGTCACAAATTCGAGTACCAACGACTGTAACAAGGTGATTCATTATCAAATGGTTGAGAGAATTATAACATATACTACTTTGTAATCACATTAGCTTAACAAAAAAATCTTTCAACTAACTTAGTGTTGGAAAAAGAAGGAACTATTCAAACCTTTACCCTTATTTTTTGTTAGTTTAATTGTCGGTCATTATCTGACTTATTAATCAACAAATTCGAATCGAGTATTATAAAAAATTATTTTGAAGTTCATTTTCTCAATCTAGTTTACTCCATTCACGATATTAGAATTCGAACTTCTTAAAGAATGTAATATCTCATCCTATTAAATCAGTTGATTGTTGGTCATAATCCTTAGTTTAATAAATAGTAAAGTAACCATGAATGTTGTGTTTCATGTTGGGAGTAGAGGCCAAATGGGAATATGGGTTTTTACAGAGAAGAAAGTTAAGCAAAAACAAAATAAAGAATGCTTTGGCCTTTAACAAAGATCACTCAAAAAGTGGGAAAAAAGAAGAAGAAAAGAACCATAGCATCCTTCTCTTCAACGCTTAAGAATAAATAAATAAACCCAAGTGTTCAAACCAAGCTCTTAAATCAAAATCGGGTTAAAACTTTTCTTATAAAGAGAGCAAAATAATTCCAAATCGAATTTAAAATAAAATGTTAATTACGATCAAAATGATATATTTTGTCGGTACTACCGACTTAGTAAATCTTATTATTAATGAATAAAAAAATTAATTACAAAAAATTTAGGTCAGGAGTGACTCTTTCAGTCTATGGTCAGAGTATACCTAAGATACATTTGGGATTTACATAAGAATTTACATATTGCCCACCAAGAGTGACAGTGGTAGGAATCGAACTTGGACTTACAAGCTTAAATTCTTGAATCCAACCACTTGTGCCAACACTTCTTGGCAATAGATTTTACATTATGAATTGACGATGATGAATGCATTAAAAGATTAATTATGAATGCATGAACCAAGTTACCTCATTAGTTAAAGGAATGATTGATATTCCTAGAAGTTCTAGGTTCGAGCACCAACGACTATCAGCATTGGTGATTGAGCGTTCATTGTCAAATGATTAAGAATATTTAGAACATATACTACTTTATGATCATTAAAAATAATTAGCATACAAAGAAATGGGAACTCAATTCTCGCATAGCCAAGTATAGTATAAAAGAAAGATTAAGCTAAACACATGCAAAAGTTGCAATTTTCCCGTTTCAAAGGATTTTCCACACGTTTTCTCCACGTAGTGTTTCCTTTGGTCCAAACCACTACTGAAGATTTATTTTATTCACTTAATTATTTAAATATAGATTTATTTTATTAAATCAAATAATATTATAGGAAAAGTTAATTTATATAAAATATTTAATATTACTAAATTTTTTGAATATTCGGATCCAAAATCTTAAACAAATTAAAAGTTGAGATTTGGTTATTTAATACCAAAATAAACCAACCCCACTCATATGTGGAACTGTCAATGCCGACAACTTTGGTTGACAACATCTTTGTTTTTTTCTTTTATTAATTTGAGTAAGCACAATTCAATATTCGATTAAAGATAACTCTCAATCATTTAATATTAAACGTTCGCATATTTAGTATTTTTTATACTCGAACTCTAAATCTAAAAAAAATAACAAAAATTCTTATATTATTCAAGTCGCTTGTCTCTTGTTGTTTATAGGTTCTTTGTAGTGCAAAAACCAGGGTCTCCTCCAACATAAAGCTGACTTTGACTCCCGGTTTAATTTGCCAAACATTGAGAGACAAGACAACCTAGAATGGGTTCCTAGTACATGCCACAATTGCCTTGTCCTTTGCCCTACACAGTACCAACTTTAATACAACAATAAACAGAACTATAAGTTCCCCCTTGAGGGGGGCCCTATTAAAAAATGGCTCGAATACGAATATAATCGAGTTTATGTACGATTATAAATGGCTCCAATACTGAAAATCTCGATAAAATAAAGGTTCATATGATAATTTCTCCCTTGCCACGTTTACAAGCATTTAAAATTCACTATAAAACCCATTTAGTCCCCCTTGCACAACCCTCCCTAACACAATCCATCTTGCTCGATCACTCGTAGCATTTTTCATATACAGCAAGATGTGCCAGTTCAAATCCTCCGGTGAATGTGATTCCGACGTCCCTTACCTTCTATCGATCGACGACTCGACGAAAATCTACGGACCATTCATCCCTAACGAGAAGGTAGATAGGGCCATTTCTGTTCCTCTTGCAATCAAGGAAGCCATTGCCATAGCCAATATTGCTGTCCCTATGATACTAACCGGGCTCATGTTGTATTCCCGGTCGTTGATTTCCATGCTTTTTCTCGGCCGCCTAGGTGACATAGCCTTGGCGGGCGGTTCGCTCGCCATCGGCTTTGCTAATATCACCGGCTACTCCATTCTATCCGGTCTCGCCATGGGAATGGAATCGATTTGCGGCCAAGCGTTCGGCGCAAAACGATACACCGTTCTCGGCATCACGTTGCGGAGAACAGTGCTTTTGCTTCTCGTTTCTTCGCTGCCTATTTCTCTCCTGTGGATCAACATGAGGAGGATATTGATACTGTGCGGCCAGGATGAAACTATAGCCATGGAAGCACAATGGTATCTTGTTTATTCGGTCCCTGATCTTTTAGCCCAATCAATTTTACATCCATTGAGAATCTATCTTCGAACACAATCCATTACTCTCCCTTTAACTTGTTGTGCCATGTTATCGATTCTTCTTCACATACCCATCAACTATCTTCTAGTTTCATATCTTCAACTAGGCATCAAGGGTGTTGCTCTTTGTGGTGTGTGGACAAATTTCAATCTTGTGGCCTCATTGATCATCTATGTACTCTATTTTGGTGTACATGAAAAGACATGGGGAGGGTTCTCGGTCGTCGAGTGTTTTAAGGAATGGAAATCACTGTTGAATTTGGCCATCCCGAGCTGCATTTCTGTCTGCCTCGAATGGTGGTGGTACGAGATCATGATTCTCCTATGCGGCTTGTTGTCGAACCCGACGGCGAGCGTCGCTTCGATGGGGATTTTGATCCAAACGACAGCATTGATCTACATATTCCCGTCGTCCCTGAGCTTCAGTGTGTCTACTCGAGTCGGGAACGAGCTCGGTGCAAACCAGCCTAAAAGGGCCAAGCTCGCTGCCTTCGTAGGCCTTTGTTGTGGCTTCATGCTGGGATTATCAGCACTATTGTTTGCCACAATGGTGAGGAACATATGGGCTAGCATGTTCACGGGAGACAAAGAGATCTTTGCATTAACATCCCTTGTTTTGCCGATCATCGGTCTATGCGAGCTCGGGAACTGCCCGCAAACAACAGGTTGCGGGGTTCTACGAGGCACGGCGAGGCCAAAAGATGGCGCCAACATAAACCTCGGTTGCTTTTACCTCGTCGGTATGCCGGTAGCGGTATGGCTCGGTTTCTTTGCTGGGTATGATTTCAAGGGACTATGGCTCGGAATGTTGGCAGCTCAAGTGTCGTGTATGGTGACCATGCTAACGGTTCTGATCAGAATGGACTGGGATTTCGAGGCCGAAAGGGCTAAGAGGCTGACCGGAGCTCAACCGGCCGTCGATGACAGCAAAGAGAGACCAAACCAAGCGGAAATCCAGGAGGATTCGTCTTCTTTATTATGTGATTTGGATCATTATTGCCTCGTTTAATCAACAATTTTCCCCTTGTTTTTCAAGTTTTATATTTTTATTTTGTATAGTTTAAAAGAGGGTTAGGATCCAATTTCATTATTTTCAGAATTTTCGGTATATTAATCATCGACCCAATATCATTAATTAAGCATATTCTACGTACCATTTCATCTTAATATTCAGCCGCACAACCTGTATTCAGTACTGTCATATGATCTACAAATATGAAAAATTAACAGCCCATAATGAATTGATTTTAAAAGTTTAAGTCCTTGATTGTCTCTCAAAAGAAGGAAGAAAAAGTGTTCGATGCCCCATAATTGAGATAATGGGGGCCAATTAAGGGAAAGTTACAAGAAAATTATGATTAGAGCAAGAATTTAGGTTTAATTACTACCTTGAACTTTCCCTAAATTTTGTGCATAAAATTAAAGTAATAAATGCTTGAAAATAAAGGCATTCACATGCGAAAAAGAATTTACTTTATCCCTAGATTTTGCATTAAAATTATATATAATTATTAATTATCTTTCTGTTTTAATTTTTTAGAATTCGATTTTGCATTAAATATTAGGTATGTTTTTGAAAAATTAAAAGTGTGGATACTAAAACGAATCAAAATTAATAATTTAGGTACTAAATGAGTAGTTTACCCTTACAAATAACATGATGTTTTGTGTTAATATAATGACTAGGTCAACAATATTAGAAGAGATTTATAGGTACACGAAACGTTTAAACTTTTGCGAAAAATCAATTAAGCTCATAAACTATTGTTTAGGTTAAATAGTATATCCTATTATTTTGAACTTAGGAGGATTTGAAGTCAAAATAGGACTAAACCTATTTTACCAGAATTTAGGAGGAAAAATGGAAGCTGAAAAAGTCGTGGGAAAAGGTCAGGTGTCAGTGATTGCAACAGGTGGTGTGGACGACAATGGTGAGGCTCTGGTGGCTGCTCAAGGTGGTGTTATTTCAGCTGAGTGCATTGCTTTTATTGACAACCTGAGTAAATGAGTTTCGGGGAGAGTTCTACGCGAACTATTCAGGCATTATGGGAAGGCGACGAGGGTCTTCATTCCCAGAATAAAAAAATAAGGAAAAGTATAAGGATTCTACCTTTGCTTTTGTCAGCTTCGCTTCTTATGATGATTTGAAGAAGATAATGAGATTGTTTAACAAGAAGAGCATTGATGGTAGGGTGGTTGAAATGTCCAAAGCCAAATTTGAGAAGGTGAAGGGCGGACATCCTCGATCTCGTTTCACTCAGGGAGCTAAGCATGGCATTGTGAAGACAAAAACTGGATGCTTCAAGGGGAGAACATGGGGCATGTAGACCGGCTAGGAAGACTTATAACATTAGAGATAGCATGTCATATAAGGAGGTTGCGTCTGGAATGTCTAGGAAACAAGCCTACACTGAGTTGGGTTCAATGAGACGTAGAGAGAATCCTTCCGAGGGGGTGTCGAACAGTTTGCAGAATATGTTCTTTCCAACGCAGGAAAATGAATGGCTAAAATGGTGCATGGTGGGATCACTGAAATGTGGCTTTGATCGCAACCAGGTACAGGAGACATTACATAATGAAGGTATTGATGCAAAAATTGCCTTTTGGGGTGCTGACTCGTTTGTGGTAATGTTTGCATATGAGGAGTGTATGTCTAACACCATTAAATATAAGATGAACGTCCTCTGGTTCTGGTTTGATTGGATTGATCAACTCATGTTGGAAGACGGATTGTCATACATGATCTGTTGTATCTCGCTTGTTGGTATCCCATTATTGTGTTGGCATGAAACGTTTTTTTTGGAAGGTTTAAGGAATAGAGGGGGTAAATTCCTGGGCCTAGCGGTAGGGACAAGAAGGAATGAGTGCGAAAATGTTTGTAAGGGTTCTTGATCTTAATGGAATTCCATCTGTAGTTACAATGTCCATCAGAGGTTGTCCTTTTGTTATTAAAATCAGGGTTGACAAGGGATAATACTGATTAGGTAGACGATTCAATCAGGTGCACTGGTGATCGGTTGGACGATTGACCGACTGAGGAAGGTGGAACCGATGGTGTAGATGACTGTGGCGATGTGAGGTTTGTCGATTCCTATTCCTCCTCAGTCATTGACGGTTACTCTGTGGGTGACAAGGAAGTGTCGATTCATGTGTCCCATTCATTGGGAATAGTTGTGGTTGATTCTAAATCAGGTGCAAATTTACCATTAAATAATATTTCTCCGATTCAGGTGGTAGAGAGGGAAAAATCCTGACGTAGTTGACCGAATGTTGGATAGCAATCATCATCAATAGAACCCTAAATTGGGTAAAATTATAGTGATAACATGTTAGGTCGCAAGCCTGCTGATAATTCTTTGATTTTGAATCATAATATATTTCGGCTTTCCTATTCTCCAAGGGGTCGAAATGGTAATGCCTCGGGTTCCAAGCAGAATACTAATAATTCAGTTGATGAAGTGGTGGCAGATAGCTTAGAAGATTTGAATCTTAATTCAATGGTGGTAAAAGATTTGTGTCTCGTCAGAATGGATTGCTCGTAAGAGGGGCGATGAGCAGCTTTCTGATTACTGGTAAAAAACTTCCATATTCCGATACCCTAGTAGCTCGTTATATCATGCAAGCACAAGCAGGCTCGCCAGGAAGTAAATAAGAACATCTCTTGAAGGAAATGGGTATTCTCAATTATGCTCGGATCTTGGTTCAACTAGTAGTCAAGACCCGCTGATGGAAGCTGGGACAATTTGGGCAGTAAGTAATGCAATGAAAGTTTCATTTAAACGGGGAAGAGAGGCTATCCTCAATAAAATTCGAGATCTGGAAGGGGAGGATTTGAGAAATCCATAAGTAAGGCTCTGTTATAAATTAGGTAGTGTTATACTTTCATCTATGAATTTGTCTATCTTATCATGGAATGCTAAATGTTTTGGGATGAGGGAAAAAAATCGGGTAGCCTGCAAATTATTTTCTGAGCGTAAGGCGAACATAACGTTCTTTCAAGAAACCAAACTTGAAGAGTTAAGTCATTCGTTCAGTAGAAGACTGGGCGGAAGCTTCCGAGGTAAAATGACATTTGCTCCGGCAGAGGGGTCGACTGGTGGGCTTATATGCGGTTGGAATCCTAACTTCCTTGATGCCTCGGACAATATTATTTACCACAGGTTTATTGCTCTAGTAGGAAGAATCAGAGGTATTAATAGTGTGTGTGGGTTTGTGAATGTCTACGGTCCCTTGGTCGAAGCATAAAAATGGGCTTTTTTTAGAACCTCTTACAGTTGGTTGAAGCCCATGATATTGTCTGGTGTATAGGGAGTGACTTTAACGCTTACCTAAATTCTGAAGAAAAAATTGGGCTCTCTGAAAATAGTCGAACAATAGAAATCTTCAGGAATTTTGTACAAAGAGTGAGATTGGTGGATCTTCCATTGGAAGAGGGGACTTATACATGGTGTAATAATCAGTTCTCACTCACGTTTGTGCGGCTGGATCGCTTTTTAGTAGCAGCGGAGGTGATACATGCATTCCCAAATTTGTCTCAAAAGTTATTGTCCAAAGAATTATCGGGTCATAAGGCCATCCTATTATATTCAACTACTGTTGAATGGGGCCCTAAACCATTCAAGTTCTATAATTACTGGCGCGAGTCAGATGGGTTTGGTAAATTTGTCACTAATTCTTTTAAGGTGCTTAAATCTGCAGGAGGTTACAAAAGCATCGGGCAACTTCTAAGGAATTCTAAAAAGTCCATAAAGCAGTGGTATGCGAGTTCAAGAACCGATATCCAAACTAATATTGAATCACTGGAAACAAACATTTGGATTTTAGAAAGTAAAACGTGGAAATATGAGGCCTCTGCTAATTTATTTCTCGAGCTACATAATCTTAAAACCAAGTTATGGCATGTTTATCTGAATGAAGAGTGAATGTGGCAGCAGAAGTCAAGATTAAGATGGTTTTCGGAGGGTGATCGTAATACGCGATTTTTCAATGATGTGGCAAATATGAAGATGAAGCAATATGTTATTTTTGGGGTAAAGATTGGGGGAGATATGGTGGAAGATCCAATTCGTATTAAAATGGCTGTCAAGAATTATTTTTGTAATGTTTACAATAAATCGGTGGTCATCGAGATCGAGTCCTTGAATCTTCCATTCAATAAACTTAGCTCGTGGCAGTCTTCAGACTTGGAAAAACCGTTCTCGGTGGATGAAATCTGGGGAAGTTATCCGTACTTCTTATGTGTATCAACAACTTCAATCTCGATTCTTGTCAATGGGTCACCCACAGACCAGTTCAGCATCTCGAGGGGTTTGAGACAAGGCTATTCCCTCTCGCCGTATCTATTTAATCTAGTTGAGTAGGCACTCAATCTCATGATGGTCAAAGCATCATCAGTAGGCCTCTGTTCGGGAATTAAGATGGGGAATGACATCAATTCTGTATTTAACCTTCAATTTGCAGACGATCTACTAATATTTTACGAAGCAAATTTTGATCAAGTGAGGAATGTGAAAACGATATTATGGGTGTTCGAGCTCGCATCTGGTCTACAAATTAACTTGAAGAAAAGTCGACTCTTTGGGATTAACATCGAGAATGAAATCTTCGAGAGTTGGGCTAACTCTATTGGGTGTTCCCAAGGTTTGTTCCCCTCTGATTATCTTGGCCTTTCGCTTGGGGCAAAACGAAATTCTACTGCTATTTGGGATCCGGTTACTAGTAAAATTTCCCAAAGGCTTGAGGGCTGGAAGTCCAATTTATTATCATTTGGAGGTCAATTATCCTTGGTTAGGCACGTGTTGTCATGTTTGCATGTATACTTTATGTCATTATTTAGAATTCCAACTTCTATTCTCTCTCGAATGGTGAATCTTGTCTCAAATATCATTTGGAGTGGGTCTCCGGATAAGAAGAAGATACATTGGATTAAATGGTCTATTCTTTGCCTCCCGATTAAGGATGGTGGCCTTGGTCTCGTAGATTTTGAGTCAACTAATCGGGCACTTCTAGGGAAGTGGATATGGAGATTTGGGATGGTAAAAGACAGTTTTTGGAGGAATGTTCTTGCTTGCAAGTATAAAATTGATGCAAATTCCCTCGTACCTCATGCTGAGCCGCACAGGAAGGCATCATGGTTTTGGAAAAACGCTCTAAAATATTTCCTCGCATCTGATGAGTTGGGTGCTATCCTCCAAAAAAATTTGGTGCTTCAAGTTGGTAATGGTGACTCTATCTCTTTTTGGGGTGACTTGTGGCTATGTGAAATCCCATTGTCCGTAAAGTTTCCAAGAATTTTCTCGTTGTTAATAGCGAAGTCGGGGCCTATTTCTAAATTCGGTTCGAGAGGTCTCGAGGGATGGTCGTGGTCCATTCAGTTGCACCGCAGGCTATTCGACTGGGAGCAAGCTCAATGGTCATAATTCATGGGGGTCCTTTATAATTTTAGAGGTTCTAACTTGGATGAGGACTGGGTGTTGTGGAAATGCTCAAGTGATGGTCGATTTTCTGTTAAATATGTTAAGTCGCTCCTTGGAAATCTGAATAGTCCTATTATTTACTGGAAATCCACTGTTCGGTTTAGTATTGCGCCTCTTAAAGTTGAGGCATTTTTGTGGCTGGTTCTCCCTGGTCGTGTTCCTGTTAAAAAGGAATTGGTAAAGAGAGGTGTGCCGCTTGAGAATGATATGTTTTGCCCTTTTTGTAAGCCCTTTGAAGAGTCAGTTGAACACATCTTTTTCACTTGCTGCAGTGTTTGGTGGTTATGGTCAAAACTTGCGTCCTTTTGGGGGCTCTCTTTGGTTTTCCCGAATTCTCCTCAATCGTCCATACTGGCATGGAAGGGATCTTTTCATTCGCCTTCTTGTGAAGCTGTTTTGAACCTTATTCCCCCAGTGGTAATCTGGTCTATTTTTCATATAACTCATCTCTTTTTTATTGTTAAGCCTTGCTTTCTCATTCCATTGCCTCGCCAGCTTCGAACATCGCAGTGGTCAAATGGAGGCCGCCTTCGTTTGGTTTTCTATCATTCTGTGTTAATGGAGCGTGTAATCGTTTTAATGGGAAGTGGTCTAGGTGGCATCCTAAGATATAGTAATGGGTCTATTCTTTTGGAATTCTCGGCTTCAGGAGTTAATGGTTCTGCTCCCCTTGCTGAATTGCTAGCAATTAATTACGCTATTAAGCTCTTTGGTTCCGCGGACTTGTTGAATTATTTTCGCCTTAGTATTAAATGTGATTGTTTTCAAGTGGTTGGTTGGGTATTAGATCCTGTGAAATCGATGTTGCCATTTGTTTCGCTTGCCAGTTTTCAGTCCGATGTCATCCATAGTAAAAATTGGTATGTTAGGAAAATACCAAGAGTGTCTAATATAAAAGCGGATGATTTGGCTAAAGCTGGTATTGATCGAAGTGTGGATTTTGTGCGTGTAGCTTAATTGCTCTCTGCTGAAGGGGTTGGCTTCTGTGTGCGGGATTGATGTGATTAGGGTGTGTTCAGCCTGGTAGTGTTCTAGTGCCTGTTGGTGCTAGTTTCTGTGCTATTTCAGCAGGCTTGTGGAGAAGTTTGATGGCAAGGATTCATAGTGTTTGGCTTTCATAGCACACAGCGAGTTTTACTCTGAATCTCGTCTTAATTTTTTTGTGGTGTGTGGCAAGTTTCCCTCTCTAATTCTGCAGCAGGTCTAGCATTGGGGTTGGATGTTCTTTATTCAATTGGTATGTGATTTTGCTTAGTTGGGGTTGTTTGTTTGTCTAGCTGTAGTGGTAAGTTTTAGTTGGAATATCATCGTTGGGTTTAGTTGTTATTTGGCGATTTGGTGCATGTCCCATATTGGTCTCCTGGTTTGGTTTGTCTTTGTCAATATTACTCTTTTTCCTTCATTTTAAGGTTAAGAAGGTATTTTAATGAGGTTATTGTCAAAGTGATGAACCTCTATTTTGATCTTAATAAAATATGTTTTTTACTTTTCAAAAACAAAACTTAGGTAGATTTACCCATTTTAATATTTAATTCTAGCTTTGTCTTTGATTAAGTCATTCAATATTATTATTAAAAACGCAAGCTAGAATAGCCTGAAAATAGGAGAATCACGAAATGAACATGTTTTGCATATGTAGAGTGCAACTTGCACAGTTATTAATCTCAGTGGCGGAGTCACACTTTGGTGAGGGTGTATATGTGTACATCTTGAAATTTGAATTTTCTTCGATTAATTACTTATTTTATTGATGGTGTTCATCTTAAAATTTTTCATGCTCGCCTTGAAATCAGAGTTTTTCTTCGATTAGTTACTTATTTTACTGATGATATCCACCTTAAAAATTTTGAATTATTCGAATTGACGAGTCCTATTTTACAACTCGAAGTTGACTTGAAGTTTTTTTCAAGTCGAGTTTATAAAATTTGAGACGAGTCGAATTTTCATATTTCCTTTTAAATTTGATTATAGATATTTATAATATTATGATATTGTTTGATTCCAACCTAAATGATTTTTTATAACCATATACAATACATATATATTTCTTCATATTTTATTTTCATAAGTGATATACATATATTATACAAATCTAAGGGACTCGATTTAAATTTAAAAATTCATCCACTAATTACTAAAAATTTTGAGTTGTTCAAGTTATTATTCGTGTTTTATTTTATAACTAGATTTGAACTTGAATTTTTTTCCGAATCGAGTTTTTCTCACCACCCCTATCATAGGTATAGTAAAATATACCTGTATAGTTACCTCTTTGGAATTGTGAAGCATCAAGGCTGAGGTAAGTAAAATAGTCCAGAATGATAATATATATTATTATTAGCTATGGATTCATATACAAGATTCCACAGGCAGTGGCCAATGGCCATCGTGTACGTGTTACCATCTCTTGTGAATTTGGAAGAGACGTCGCATTATATAATTATGGAAGATGGATCAGATCTTGATCGAGATCATGGCTCTACAATGCCACTTAAAAGGCATAGCCAAATCTTATTTTTTTCAAAAAGGATGAGTTAATATATGACCGAATTATTTCCATAAAAGTATCTTTATAACTAAGAGATGACTATCCAGGTAAGTTGGTAGAATATAGTAGTTTTAATTTTGAGGTTGTGGGATCGAGTCACACGGAGGGCATTTTATAATTTGGAGGTCTTCTACGGAAGCTGCTCTCAACCTGGTGTTGGAGGCAACCTACTATCTTACTTCTCCCTTACCCCATTACATACGAAAACAAGGGACAACCATTTTTTATCCATATAACTAAACCTGGTATTCACCTGCTTTTATATGTGTATATATGTATATATATATAAAGCTGCAGCTTTCTTGGACGGGCATGGGGTAGATAAGGTCAAATGGCCTTCAGTGGAAATTATACCTAGCTTTTGTTTTGGTCAATGGTTTTAGCAGAGATGAAGAGCCAGCTATACACATTGTTTGCGAAAGTAGGGATGGATCGAGGGGAACAGGTTGGGGCAGTCTGCCTTTCTAAAAATTTAAAATTATTATATATTTTAAAATTTTTTCTATGTATTTTTTATTGAAAATCTATTTTGATCCCCTATAATTTTATAAGTTCAAGTTCACTCCCCTAACATAAAATCTTACATCCGTCTCTGTGCGAAAGGATATGATGAACTTCAATTCTTTGACGTATTGATATGCATTTGGTCTTTTAAACAAAATCAAACGTTTGAATCTTTAATGCTTTGGGTAGAGAAAACTAGATTAGGAGGGACGTACTTAAACAAATCAGTTATGATTACAGTGGTTTGTTCAGGTGTAATCTTTTACCATCTAAAGTTAGCTGTATTTAAGACCTGGGCGTGCTTGCTTAGCATGGCGAATGCATGCATTTACGTTACGAAAAAGCCATACATGCATATCCTCTTATGGCAACAAGCAGCAGCTAAGGAGAATGAACTTACAAAAATACTAGAGGTGAAAATAAATTATTAATAAAAATATAAAAAAAATATTTAAAATATAATAATTTAAAATTAAAAAATATATAAATACTCATTAGGTGATCTTCCTATTTCCACATCGTCAAGCACGACTGTGAAAAGGGCTTGAAGTTGAAATCCATATACAAAGAATTAAGGGCATGAAATAAATTAAAAGAATGGGCTTCGGAAAGATGGCAAAAGAAGGCAAAATTGGCCCAATAAGCCAGGCGGATGAAAAAAATTAATTTAGGATCTATGGTGAATGGTACAGTGCAGGGTAAACTCGTCACGCCTACTTGACGAATTTTCTCAAATAATATTTTTTTACTTAAACTCGTCACATCAAAGTGACAAATTCTAATAAAATATATTTTTTTATTAAATTTTATAGTGTCAATGTGACAAGTTCCAACTATAAATATATTTTATTAAAATTCATCACTTCAACGTGATGAGTTCCAAATTAATATAACAAATGTCGTAATTCTCAAAATAAAAAATATATATATGATATCGCATTGAGCTAAATAATTAACCCGCCTACAAATATTGGACCAAAATTCCGGCAAAAGAATCATGGCTGATGGCTTTGAAAGCTAAGATTTTTACTACAAT